TGCATAATGATGTCTGCACTTAACAAAGTATGATTTATCTCATTATCTCCCATTTTAGATTATAAGGAGTATATTTCTTTGTTTCCTTCATCATGAATAGCCCAGTGTTAGACACAAATTAGAGCTTAGTAAGTATGTGTAGATTGATTGATAAATTCTCTTAGCCCTGAACCAGTGAAGCATTTAGCCCTTCTAGGAATGGCCTTGAATGATGACTCAGAAAAGAGTTCATACTTTAAACACTTCGATATGTCTAAACGATGAAATCGCCTCATTAGCTAAGATAATTTTTTTTTTACATAACTATATTATAACCCCAAACTCTAATTAGCTATGGGAAAATGAGATTACAACAGCAAACACGGCAATCTGGTTAATATGGTAAACAACCCTTATGCACATAATCAATTTAGACTCCTGGCAGTAGTGAATTCAAAATCATAAATGTTTTTTGGCTCTTACTCTGTCTTATTTTTATAATAATTATGCATTCATAAAAGTATATGCACTTATAAAAACATTTCTTGTAGTTACAATTTAGATTTGCAGATAATACTATATATGGTTTGGTTCCAAGAAGGATAACTATTCTAGTCTGAAAAGATAATCCACCAAAGCAGAAATTCATTAAAATCCTAAAATTATTCCATCTAAATTTCTTATATTAGCATATTACCTAGGAAAATTTTATGTCAATGTGAAATATTTTATTTTAATTTTATTTAAATACGTTAAATGTTAACAGGCTAAATTTAATAGGCTAAATGTAGCAGGTAAAATTTTTCTGCCATAAAGTAAATCTTTACTGTGTTGGACTCAGGTAGCATGTACTAACAGCCTTTCTTGTCTAATGTTATTTTCTCTAGTATTTTTAATCATTACTTGTTGCCCCAAACACACATAATTCTTCTGATCATTTCAAGTTTTCTTAATATTTTTGTTTCTTCCTTTAATTTTTTAATAGCTGGCTGCCTTCTTGTATTTGTTCTACTCTCAGAATTGAATTGCCCTCTCCTATAGCTAGGTCTTTAATCCTTGAAATTCTATAGAGCAAAAGAATACTGGTAATATAAATAACAAACACAAAGTATTTCTTTCCCCTGGAATGTAATAATTCCATAAAACCTACATAATAATGAAATTTTGTTTCTTTTCTATTTCTTGTTCCAAAAAAGTAATGTAAATATTTAGTATCAAATAGCTATATTTGTTGAGATGCCCTGCATACTGTATTTCCTAGTTAATGAAGTTACAATCATACTTGAAAATGTAATAGTTGTTAAAACAATATTAATTTTGGACAGATCCATTGTTTAATAAATTATGCAATGGCTAGGAACCCCCAGTAAACTCATTTGCTAAACAATATATTACATAAATTTTCCAACCTACATACTTTGTTTTTCAACTCTACATTTTAAATATACAATAGTGAATGCTCATGATCTTTGAGTTGTCTTCCAAACCTGATATTAACGCTGGATTACAACTAAGTACTATAATTAAATTTGATTTGTAAGTATATTAGTTAATTAACCTTAACATTTTCTGGAAAGTCAAGCTAATGTTAGATCTTGGAAGCCCAAACGACATTTTGTAATAATCAATACCACTAAACTAGCATCATTAAAGAACAACTATTAGTAGCACTGAGACTTTGTGGATATCACCTACCCCACAAATCAAATGAGTATATTCTTAATTTATTTTTTATTAGCTGTTAACATTAGACAGAATTCCCTGTTGAAAATCAAGATTATCTGGCATGGGTTTACTACTTGTCATTGATTGAGTTTAAACAAACATATGTGCTAACTGTTAACTATATCTATTTAATGGGTTTTCCATTAAATACATTTGATTAGAGACTATATGCATCACTTATCATCTATCAGTATTGTTCTCAAATATAGATTTTGTTCTTTAAAAAGTTCAAATTGACACATTTTACAAACGATATAAATGTCTATCCAATGTACTGTATACTTGAAACTAATAAGAAAATTTTTTTAAAAAGTCAAACTGAAATATTTAAATTCATTTATGTAAAAATATAGATGAATAGGTACAGATATACTTATAAATTTAAATGACTTCTTTCACACTAAAAATAAGATCAAAGATTAGGAATCTCTCTTGTTCTTAAAACCAAAGAATCAATAAAGCTGACTAGACTACCTCTTGATCTCCATCCCTGATCAGATTGGACCCTATTTTTACCTTGGTTAATGGTTTCTTAAAATTAGACAGTCTTTAAATCCAGGCTTTTCCAGGAATCTCTTTATGATACTCTGGGAAGAATCATAAATTCTGGCTTTACGCACAGCATTAAAGAAACAAAAAAAAATTTTTTTTTAAGTATTTAATAGAACCAGCGGTGTCAACAGTTCCACCTTTGTATTGTAGTTTTTTAAGTAAGTCATCTCTTGAGATTAACTGTGTAATTGGATAAGATAAAAATTCATTCTTAAAGATAAATTGGGTTGACTCTACATGGTTCAACTTCACTGCATGATGATATCTCTCTCACTTGGATCTGACTGTGGACCTGATATTGGAGATGACTACCAGAGGAAAAAAAAAAAAAAAAAAAAAAAAATAGAATAAGGCATCATTGATAATATTATGTTTTTCTAGAAACATTATGGTTGAATCCTTCGTGCTTAGCTTAAGGCTAAGTCCTAGTCACCTAAACAAATTTCTTCAAGCAAAAGATCAGTTAAACATCTATGAAGCTCATCAGTAGTAAAACTATAATGTCAAGATAAAAACTTAAAATTAAAATTCTAAAAAGAAGAAAAAATGCAAGGCCCTAATTATATTCCACTTGTAAATAAAATGTTTTGCCATTTTTTAAATTTCATATCCCAACTTAGCAAATAAAATTCATTGAGCTTTTAAAACTAAAAACTGGTGATTAATCTCGAATAGTACCAAGAACACGCATACAGAGATGCCATACTGATAATGCTACCAATTCTTACCACTTTTCACAAGATATATAAATTACTAAAGCTGGAATTTGGCAATATTCCTTCCTTGGCAAAAATTAAATCAATTTAATGGCACAGGGTGAATGTTTTAAATGGAGTTTGGCAGAATAAATCATTCCATCAAATTACTCAGTCTCCCCTCCCTCCCTCCTTCTTCTTTTACACTATGCCCCAAAGAAGGTTATTTATTCATGGTTTGGTAAAAGTCCTGGACAGCATAATAGATAGGGAAAGCTCCTCAAATAAACAAATACAGAGCCATAATTAAGAGAAAGCAAGACGAAATTTTCATGAGAAAATATCCTAAGTAAAATGAATAAACAAAACAGAACACTAATTTGGTTATACTTAGGGGCTACCCTTGTGAGTTCATTTACTAACATGTAATACTCCTTTAATCACATGCAGCACACTTTTACATGGATTATAAGTGCCAACTAATACAAGAGGGTTCAATAACTGAAATGATTAGAAAACATAATGAGAAACAATTCCTAGTAAAGGAACAGAGTTTATATATTAACATGGGCAGAATCACATTTGATACAAGGCCTTTGAGAAAATCTTTCCTGGAGTATGCAGGATATTTATGTGCTACTATATTACTATCTTTTAGTCAACTATGTGTCCCAACAAAACACATCTCAATAAATGAAACATTAACAACATAAGAACCAACATAAAATATTCATCAAAAGCTATCCCCCCATACATCCGAAGATAGATACTATAATCTCTGCTTTGCTTGATTTCATTGTGATATCACACTCACTAATTGTTTATATATATTATAGAGATATAAAGACATTGAATGGGTCTCTCAGGAAAATCTGTTCCCTCTGCCCACCCTACCACCCCATCTCCGTGTTTGTTTTCTCTACACTTTTGGTAGGAGAAATTTCATCTTGGAGAGAATGTACCTGCCATTTGACTTGTCACAAGGCATTTATGCAAGAGTTATCCATTTATAGACTAAACTATTTTCATATTTTTCTTCCTGATATTCCTAAGTTGCCAATGATTCGACTAACATAATGATTCATTTTATTGTCTTTTGTTGCATTGCAGATACTGGAAAGTTTTTTTTTCCTCCTGCTTTCCTGTCTGGACATTCATTGCTTACTGAGTCATATTTTCAGGCTTGCTTTTGGTGAGTGCCATGTCCCTTCCCAGGCAAGGAAAGAGAACTAGCTCTCTAAATAGCAGCTGTTAATGGAAAAATCAGTGCACAACCAGGCACTCCGTGTTACAACACTGTCAAGTGTCACTGTAAAGTGGCAATAAGAAGAGTAAATTGTTCCCCACTTCTTTTCTCTGACCTGTGTGCTCTGTCAGCTTGGATGCTTGGACAGAATCTTATTTCTCTCCCCATCACTATATTGGTAGGGTAAAAGGGTTTGTTTAATTGTGTAAAGTAAAATCAGACTGGAACTAAATAAGACATTGACATAAAATTGAACAGGCAGGATTGGTCATTAAGTCACAATTAAGCATTAGAATTTAAGTAGAAACATCATCTTCTATTGTCACAAAAACACAGTGTCAGATAAAAGCAGCAGAGATGGCTTCGGTGAGCCCTGGTAGCCAGGACATTCTTTTCAGAGGTGTTTCCTTTTTGGGCTTTCCCAATTTGTACTCAGCAATGAAGTTAGGGACTAGATGTAGTGTTTTAAATATTCTCTTTCTGTGTGTATATTATTGATTAAAAAATAGAATACAACTTTTTCAACCATCATAAGTGGTTTGATAAATTTTGTCATTAGACTCATTCTATTCTAATCTATAATGTACTTAAAACATGCAAAAGTACAAAAGTAAAAATAAAATCAAATTAAGATCTCTGAGTATAGAGCATATCGATGGTACAGGAGTGAGGACTGAGATGGGACAGTGGTCTTGTATAGTAACTATTCCATTCCTTATATGCTATTTAGTTTTTTAAAAATGCACACACTCTCACATCCACAAACACACCCAACCACATAAGTATATAAAAAAAGAACTTACACAATTTCATCATTCTGGAACTCGAGCTCTCCACAAGTGTCCTCAAAGTCCTCTCCTCCACCTCTGGCAGTCCCTTCAATGGTTTTATAGGGAACGATAACATTTCCTCGAGCTCCAGATGTTCTCAATACTTTCACCTCCATGATGCCAATGCTCTCACTCACATGAGTCACAGGTTCCTCGAAAGTAAAGATGCCTGCGTGGTCATCATCAAAAATAGTCACGGTGGCAGTGGAGGGAGATCCGAGGCAAGCGAGTGAAGAAACGTGATTGGCTTCCAGTATGCCATCTTCTGAAGCTTCAGAAGATACTTTGACATTACTGAGATGCACAAGGAAATTTTCATCCTCCTCAAAGATATCATCATCAATGATGCCAACTCTGATTTCCTTCTGGGTCTCACCAGGCTTAAATACTACAGTTCCTTCAGTAAATTCATAATCAGACCCAGCATTGGCTGTGCCATCCTCGGTTCGGAAGTCAACAAACACAGTGTTGGTCAAATCACCACCTCTGCGGATAATAGTTAGGGCTACAGTACCACAGTTCTCCAGACACTGGTATGTCCCTTGTTCAAAGAAGATCTTACTAACAGGGTCATTTTCAGCCATTTCAGTGTTCACCTCATGCATGCTGACAGCCTTCCTTGCTTGGTCAGCTGCATGCCTCTTTAAAATGTTGCCAGCTCCAGTCATCAGGCGAGTAGCTTGAATGCGGTAAAATGCTCGACTTTTTTGCTGCTGACTTAGGACCTGGTAGTTAGCTAATTCTATTAATTGCTCTATTTCTTTCTCCGGATGCTTCTGCTTGAGTTCCTTCAGAATCCTAGCCATTTCACGCCTAGCTTCTTCATCATCCTGGTCCCTCTCATCGACCTCCAGAACCAGAGCTCCATCTAAGAAATTGTCAACATGAGAATTAACAACTTTCCCATCCATTTCAATTTCAGTCTTGGAAGATGGTCTGTCTCCTTCATGTTCGATAATCATCCCCCTCTGCTTGCCCGCCCGATACCTCTTGTAGACATATTTGTAAAACAGAAGCCTCCGGTCTGCTACCCAAGCAAACACAACACAGATGGGAAAGAAGAAGAAAGTAAGCAATCCTTCCCAGACCTCCACGACCCCAGGAGAGATGACAGACAAAATAATGTAAAGCCAGGTATAGGCAAAGATGCTCCAGGCTGCCGTCACAAAGAACACACGCAAATGCTTTATCTTCCTTGTCTCTCCATCTGGGACCACGTAAACACAAAGCGCAATGATGATGAACATATTGAATGCGGCACTTCCCACGATGGTGCTTGGACCAAGGTCTCCAGCAGTGAAGTTATGGCCACACACTTCAATAACTGAAAGGAGGATCTCTGGAGCAGAGGATCCCAGGGCCATCAAGGTCAAGTTGGAAACCGTCTCATTCCAGATCCTCACAGTTGTCTTCGTGGTCTCTCCATTGGGTTTCTTTATGGTTATTTCTTTTTCTTGGGATGTGATGACTTCTATAGAGGACATGAACCGGTCAGCAATGATGGAGACTCCAAGAAACATGTAGACCATGGCCACAAAATACACAGTAGCTCTAGCAATTTTGTCCCCAAAGGAAGGGTCCTGGGGCTCCCAAATGGGTAAAATCACCCCTCTCTTGCAGTAATATGAGCCGGTACACTCTCCAGTTGCATTGCCTTCCCCTTCCATTTCTGTCTCAGCGCTTATATGGTCCACATGGGAAAATAAGAGAGCCACGATGGCTAACAGATGAAATCCGAGCGAAAAGGTGGGTGAGAGATTTACTTGCAGCATGTTGTACAATGGCAGATTTCCAACTGTCCCAACCTACTGGTAAAAATAAGATGGGGGTTGGGTGAAAGAAAAAAATCATATCATTAGAGCCAGATCCAAAGCATAACTAATTACGTATTTTTGCTAATTTTACCGATGATTTGCTTAAATTTGACTATCACAAAGTCAATGGGTGGATCATTATTCTAAGAATCCATCTGTGATTAAGTAATCCTTTGTAAAGTTTCCAACTCGATCTCTCCACCTGTGAATTTTCTATATGGAGTCCCCGTTCACTAGGCAATGTGCCCAACTGACTTATTGGAAATGAACAGTTCAATTATAGCCTGCCTAGTCACATGCACATTTATGCCTGCTAACAGCCAATATGAAAAAAAAAAACAACAACTTTTGAAGCATTAAATAATTTCTCTTTGTTGCTGAAGCAGATTTTCTTTTAAATTTTAGTATGATTACCTTCCAGAAACTGTTTCATTGTCAAAATCACCTTATTAAGATTGATGCTCTGAAGTTCAGACTTTAAAAATCCTACCAATACAGGACCCTGTTAACGATCCTAAATTCTGCAGCACATCCTACATGGCATTTCATGAAATCATGTCATTTGCTCCAAACCGAATTGGAAATACAGGGAAATCTTCATACTTGCCTGCAATCGAAGCTCAACGGTATTTGTACTTGAGGGGAAAAAAGCCTGCTGTAATGCAATATTTCCACACATTTAGTACCACTTTTAAAAGCATGTTTGATGAGAGCACATTTCCTCCTAATTTTCAGCAAGCCCAGGTCTCCTGCTTCATTAGCATCTGGGCATCTGGTTCTTCAAGCACAGTTCTTCACATCTGTGCACAGATCTCGCTTGAGAATCTGCAGGCTGTCCATAACAGGAAAGGGAGATAACCAGGCCCAAGTCTGGCTGTGTGTAAGCCTTTTGCCTGGCAGGCTGTGAAATCAGTGTTACCAGCCATAAAATGTTCCTTCTCATGTTGATGTCATACTTTCCACGGTCATTCTAAAACACATCATAGTTCTACAGAGGGTTCAAGTGACCAAAAAATGCAGGAGCAATAATTCCACCTAAATTAGCTCATGTGGCAGAATGACAGTGACCACAAAGTAACATGATGAAGGGCTGTAGGTAATTAGGGTTGTGGCAACAGAGTCACTGAGCAGCACAAAGCTTGGAAAGCAAAATGCTGGACTAAGCCACTGCGGCCTCAAGTTTGCACACCAGCTTAGGCGAAACTCCGCTCGGATCTTACATCAACTCTGCCTCCAGGGCTTGCTGGGGTGCCAAAGCTGAGGAGGATCTGCTCCCCGTCAGGGTCACTCTGGTCTGACATCAGACAACGTGGTGATAGGAAGAAGTCCTGAGTCAGAACATAGTCTTATGGCCCAATAAAAAGTTAAAAGTAGAGCTGGATTAGAGTCTTTCACAGCCTCAGGCTATCTGAGCGTCTCCCCCACCCCCCCCCACCCCACCCCTGCCCCTCTGCATTCACCTACTTTCTCTGGCCCATGCTTGCTGCTGATGGCTTATACTGGAAACTGCGCCAGGACTCAGAAGAGCCCCTCCGGACCCAGCACATTCTGGCAGACCCTCAGACAGCCCACAATTGCCTAAAGCCCTTTATAGCTCATCACTATTAGAAGATAAACGTTGACGTTTTTCCCGTAAAGAAGTCACAGCAGAGGGTCGTGGTGCTAGAATTCCATTCTAAATAAAAGGACAAAAAATAGAAGCATATTTTCAGAATATGCAAAAGTTCATGGTCAGTGTTCTGCTTGTTCAGTTGTTGCAGGGCTTGAGCAGGTTGTAGCATCTCTGCTTAAAACAAGGTGACATTGAACCGGCCTGTAAGAGCAGTGGAAGGTCTAGTTCTAACTCCCTTATGCACGCATTTATTCCACAAATATTTGAGTGCCGCCTAATATGTATTTCTTAATGACCTGCTAAGCTTTCTTCTAGGTCTGAGAATTCATCAATCAATAAAAATAATAAAAAAAAAGTTTCCGTCCTCACAGACTTTATATTCTAATGGGAAGGAAACAAATAAATATAAATGTCAGATGGGAAAAAGTGCTGTAGTGGAAGGAGGAGAAATATAAGTAGGACAGGGAGTCTATGTGCGTATGAGTGTATATATATGTGTGTGTCAGTGTGCACACACACAGCGTACAGAATTTATAATGGATGGTTAAGGAAGGCGTCTCTGATAAGGGGATATCTGAACAAAATCCGGAAGGAAGCAAGAGACTAAACCTTGTGGATGGGTATGTGCAGGGAGAGAATTCCAAGTAAATGCAAAGACCCTGATGGGACTTGTGTTTGGCATTGTCTGGGAACCACAGAGAAACCAGTGTGACAAAAGGGCAACGAGCAAGGGGAGCAGGGCTCAGCGGGGATGGATCGTGTGGGGCACTGAGGCCATGTAAGGCACTGATTCTGGCTGTGAGGGAGATGGGAATCAGAGGGAGGTTCTGATCAGAGGTACGATATGAGCTAATTTTCCTTTTAAAAAAGATCTTTCTGCTGGTTCAGTGGAGAATAGACTATAGGGGCAAGGGTGGAAACAAAAAGACCAGAAAATCAACTGATATAATAGAGCGTAAAGTAATCTTAGAGAACTATTGAACTTGAGCTTGGACTAGCCCATTGGAAAACCTCTTGGATTCCATACAAGGTTAGGAGGGCCTAGGTGGTAAAAGTCCCATAGAAAGTTTCCAACAGCTTAGCTTTTATTTTATGGATTAGAGACTCAAACAGACAAACATCAATAGTTGTGATGTAACATGTGGGCTGGCATGTTCCTAGAGACAGATGCCTTTCACTCTCCAGCCTTTTAGCAATTACCTGACAACCTCTTCCTACACACACCCTCAGAGTAATCTCTTAGGTCAGCCAAGAAAAAGCCCTGCCCCAACTCACATCTCACAACATGTTCTTACTTAAAAGGGTATCAGGTATCCAACAGTGGGTGAAGAGGTAAAAAGTCCATCATCATCATCAGAGAAAAAAGAAGAGGGCTTCTGAAGTTAACTCAAAAACATCACAATTATATTCAAAAGGTGGTAGTATTATAACTTGTAAAAATCAGTTCTGATATACCTTATTGGCAACAAAGCAACTGGAAAGAACTATCTGGATTTCGGCTTTATTAAATTAATACTAAATCTAAATGCTGATGAGAATATGGGATAGGTGTTATCTAAATGAGAGCTCCTTCTTCATTCTTTTGTCTCCAATCTTTCAGGGTCTTTCCTTTGTCATCAGATTCAAGCAGATCGACATGACTTTCCCCACTATCTCCTCAAATACATATTTCCAAGAAAATTATGCAGGAAATAGAGGCTGTTGATATGTTTGTCTGCTGGCTGGCTTTCTTATATTCTTCCCTGATCTACTAAACTCTGTAACAAAGAATAGGCTGATTTTCATGGTGGTTTCAGATCAACTCTTACATCTGTGGCCAGTTCTTGCTTAGGAATAGCTATTACATCATCCAAAAGAGTCTTCAGCATAGTATCAAGAATACCTGAATTATCTTCTGCTCACTATTTATTTTAAAACAAGTCAAACAACTCCAGCACCTACAGATTACAGACCTGAATGGCACTGACAAAGGATGTTGAAACGATATCCCACTGAGTAAGCCAAGCAGCCTATGTTGAAGGGAGAGGTCGTAGAAATGGAAACATATACCTGCAGACAGATCTTTATCAAACTGCCTGTGTAAAGAGTGAGGAAGAGAATCCCCCAGCAGAGGCCTGAGCAGTGAGGCTGCAGAGCCTTGGGCTCCTTGTGAGAAGCTATAGCCGGTTTTGACTACTAAGGAGAAACTGACTCAGAGAGAAGGAATACCTCTGGCACTCCCACCAGTCCAGTGCACTGAGGCTGCCTAAACTCATTCTGTTGATTGGCAGCTGGGGTTAGTCCAAGGAGCTCCCTGCCTCTCTTTTATCAGGACCTGGAATTCCCCTCTATGTAATTCTTGCTGACTGAAAGCCTCAAAGCTAAGAAATTAATCTGTTTCTAAGGCAACATTAAAGTAACCACAAATTCTACTATGGCAAGCACTTCTAAATGCTTCTAGACAATGAGATGATGCCAGAGCATGACTTTCCTTATCTGACCATCCACCTAGGCTGCCAATTACTGTTCTGGCCCCCAACCTCAGGCCTTTAGGCCGTGATACGCTGCAGGAAGGAGTTCAGTTTCCACAGTAACTCTCTGCTATTACCTCCCTCCCACCCCCAAGGAGAGCTTTTTCTCTTTGCTGCTTGATAAATTGAAACAAGACCTCCAGGGGACAGGCAGTGACAAGTCTATAAGGAGCTCAAGCCTTTTCTGCTTGAACTTGGAGGACTAGAGCCAGGATCCTGTCCCACATTAGAAAACGCCCACCTCATTCATCAAAGGAAACAACCAGAGTAAGGGTCAGACAACATGGCCAGAAAAGGAAAGATGGATTTAGAATTTAGGAAAATGAAGAAGTTATTGAAAAGTCATGAGATGTACCCCTTGGCCCTGTCCCCTACTTTGTTTTTCTACACAGAACTTTCTACTTTTTATGTGCTGTACAATTTACTTAATGGTTCCGTTTACTGTCTTTCCCTCTCTAATAGATGTAAACTCTGTACAGACAGGGATTTGTGTCTCTTTTGTTCACTGATATATCTCCAGTTCCCATAGCAGAGAGCCTGGCACGTAGAAGATGCACAGAACCTGCTTGATGAATGAAAAAAATCATTCAGATAGGGTCATGTGCATGTGCCGATTCACCAAATCTCTGATAGTGAATCAGAATCTGGGAGCTAGGCCTGAACATCTGTATTTTAAAATGTTCTCTATGTGAAGTGGATGCCCCTAAAATATGCAGGGGCCAGTATCACACTGAAAAACCAATGTCAGTGTTAGGTGGAGAAGAGGAAACGTGATTGAAGCTCATCGTCAGAGAATTTCAGACTGGAAAAACTGATCTCTAGCATAACAAGAGGGGCTGAAGCCCTGACATTTCCCCCAGCATCTGGGTGTG